CGGAGGGACCCGCGAGCTGCTGGGCAGAGGGGGTCGGGGTCTGCGCTGGGGGCAGGGTCTGATGTCAGCCTGGTGGAATCCGGTCCTACGGGATCGCCGTCAGGAAGGAAAAATCGGGAAGATGGGCTGCAATCCATCGGAAAACACCGTGCTGGAGAAGGGCTCCAAGCCACAGGAGTTCCCTCTAATTTGATAGTTACTGGTGCGTGGGGGGGGAGTGTGTGTGGGGTTTTCTGGGGTTTTGGTTTGGTTTTGGTTTTTTTTTTTTTCCCCCCTCCTTCTTTGCACTCCGAAGCACATCACACGTTTTTATTTGTGATGTCATCACTCCCTTAAGAGCTCTCGAGCACCACCCCAGGTGCCACTTTTCTAGTTTTTGTTAGCCAAGTAAAAAAAAAAAAAAAAAAAAAAACAAAAAAACCCCACCAAAAAAACCCTGTTACTGAAACAAACCCGTACTGCATCTGAACCACAGTGGAGCAATGGGCAAACTTACTGGTATAAATCTCTGCTCAGAATTTAGTTTTGTGGTTTGGTGTACCACGTAAGACACGCAGTAGAGTGTCTTACTTGCTTCCCTGCGAACTGGAGCTCGAATACACACTGGGCGTTTTCTTCTCTTGCAGGAATAGGTTGTAATATATTCAGCAAAATCTCTCCCCCCAAACATGTTAAACAGGAAGACTATTACTTTGTATACATGAGGAAATATTTTCTTAAATATCGCTATACAATTTTGCCAGGTGGTGGGGATTGTTATTATTTCCCCTATTTCTTAAAAACAGTAAATCCTATAGCTTTAATAAAGTTCTGAAATATTTCTACTTTATTATTTTATTGAAGCTAGAGTGATGTAGGCATGCTTTTGCTACTTTAATTACACTTTCAGTTCCTAATTTTAAATGTTTTAGCTCTTCATGTTGTTAAACCCTAGCCCGTAGTCAACTATTGATAGTTAACTACTTTGGCTTGTATTTCATGCATTGAAAAGAAATGAACCAACCCACAGACAGGCTTTCTCAGTTCTCTGAAACAGAGGGCACTTTAAAAACCAAGGTGTAGTGCATGGCTGTGTGTGCCATCTTCCCTTCCCATTCTATATATGTGGCGATGGCTGGCTTGGATACTTGTTATTGCGGCTGCTACTGCACTATGGGGAAAGAAGATTCTCTCTTAGGCAGGCTGCTTCCAGATGACTATGTCCATATGTTCATTCCTGATTAAGGCTGTTGGCCCAGAGATGAAGACTATAGCTAAAGTTTTAGGCGAATACCTGCTCTAATTGATGATCTACTAACACGCAGTGTGTGTTGTGTTTTTAGGATGCCGTGCTTCAGTGTTGAATGTATGTTTTGTACGCACATTTATACATTGTTATGTATTTGTAGTGTGTGGGTTTTTCTGTTTGTTTGGGGTTTTTTTTAAAGAAAATATAACCTTGTTATTTTACAATAATGCCAGTATTTTCCTGTAGGATCTGGGGGAAGGAAATTGGTTCTTAGTTTTGAAATTCTGTCCTGCTTGGTGTTAAAAGCAAATATAGCAGTTTAAATATAGATCTTCAAGTAGCATGTGGGAAATGAATTTATGAATGAATTGATTTTACTTTTAGTGTTTTTATAACTCTATGTTAAAATAGTTAGGATCAATAGTTAGCTTGGAAGTTAAATGCCTCAAAGCAATGCAGCCTTTCAGGTGAAGGTCTTTGAGCTGAATTAATAGTGCTCAGAGATCCAGGAATTTTTGCTGTTACTTCTTTACTGTGGAAATGTTTCTTTCACAAGTGTGATTTTATAATGCAATCTGTTTCAGTTAAGCTTTTTTTCCCATTATGTTTTGTGTAGTTGAGTGTGTTAGTTATACAGCCTCAGAAGCATTAAGAAATTATGATACAGTTTTTTAGGATAGGTTTGAAAAAATTCAAGAGGTTTACTGGTAGATGAGAAGAATGACTTCTGGTGCCAGGTCGAAGTACAGCCTATGGCATCGTGGTTTAATATTTTTAATGGCTTTTCTCTCATCTAAGAAGCAGCACAGATGACTGCCGTGTGGTATGACTAAGCTTTCCATTCAGTGTTTTTAAAACAAGATGATCTCTAGAAAGGACTCAAGGGGAAAACAAAAATCTGTCAACGTTGGGCTGTTTCTTCGTTTTCATAACTGTTGACTGAAGGAGACCATATACATTCAGTTAAAGAGCATAGTGTAGGATGCAGTCTGAGGTTTGTTTTCTACATTTGTTTGACCTAATGGCATTGGGTCACTATCATGTGATTATCATGTCTGACAACTGATTGGTACTGTCTTGCAGCATGGTATGCGTACTGGAGATGCAGAAACCATGTAGCAGAAAGCTTTGAGCAGTTGTGGATTATCAGTTTCTCCCAACAGCAATAAAAAGCGAAGCATGAAGGCGACTGGATTTATTTCCCTATGGACGTTGGTTTCGCTGCCTTGTGGCCAGTTAGCAAATCCCGCAGAACGTGAAGATGTAGTAAAGCATGCGATAAAGCTACACCGTGGGAAAGGAGCTGTTATCACTCAGAGAAAGCAGTGGGTGTTGGAGAACTGCAGAAAACTATCTGGTCTTCTTCGCCAAAAGAACGTTGTTCTCAACAAACTAAAAAATGCTATAAGAGCAGTTGAGAAGGATGCAGGACTGTCAGATGAAGAGAAGCTTTTTCAGGTGCATACCTTTGAAATTTTCCAAAAGGAGCTAAATGAAAGTGAAAACTCGGTCTTTCAAGCAATCCATGGCCTCCAGAGAGCTCTACAGGGTGATTACAAAGATGTTGTAAATATGAAAGAAAGCAGTAGACAGAGACTGGAAGCCTTGAGAGAAGCTGCAATTAAGGTTAGTTCTCCATGTTTATTACTAGAGTATTAATATCCTACTTGTGATTTTATTATGGCACGGTTTCAACCTGTTTTAATAAAAAAGTGGATCTGCATGAAACTTGCAATGTTTTACTGTTTAAAATGGATGTTGAATGAAGTATTTGTTCTCATTAGTAAAATTAGAAATAATTCGGGTGTAGAGCTTAAAACTTACTAGCAGTCAATGGTTCTTATTTCAAAACAAAGCTAAGCATAATCATAAGACCTACAGCAAATATTATGGTAAAGGGAAAGGAATACAGGAAGTGAGTCAGTGCACAGTTGCACTAGATAAGCCAGTGGGATTATCAGAGTGGAAATAATGGCATAAATTGGCAAAATGCTAACTGGGTTTTTTCCACTTCAAATGAGAATTGCTCAACCAAAATCTACAATTTAAAGAGAATGAGTTCCTACCTTTTATTTCCACATTCATATAGATGGGGGTAAAATGGACATGCAAAATAGAAGATGACTAGATTTTTAATCTCTGTATGGCACTCCTAGCCTAAGAAGCGCAGGTTTGAAAAACAGTATTTCCAAGAAAGAGCCAGCTGAGATAACTACCAAGAAAACCACAGATGAGTAACAGTTGAGCACAAGTACTTCATGGAAAGTTTTGAGTTCCCGTGTCAATGCAGACCTGTTGGGGTGTGCACAATCTGCCACTGTCTGCTGGACTTGGTAGTGCTCAGACTGTGTACTGAAAGCCTCCCACTGAGGGAAAACTTTGTTTAATTGATTTGGTATTTAAATTGCTCTTTTCCTTGCTCTACCCCTCAACTGCTGGAGGAACATATTAAGAATTTTCTTTGTTTTCTGTCTTCTTTTAGAAGAGGCTGTCCTTGTGCAAGGGATCAAGAGAAGGGGAAAAAAAAAATCGGGATGTAGCATTTGAGCTGGGAAGGGCATTTGTGTAAGAGATGTGCAGATCTTAACGGGTGAAGATGGCAAGATATTGTGTGCAAGAAAGGTGTGCAGTGAATTGTGGCAAGAAAGGCTGGTGGAAGTAGAAGTTAGGGTGCAGACTTGGGAGACTGGAGCTGTCTGTGCAGTGAAAACAAAGACTGAATTACAACAAATTTGGATAGGGAATAGCTTGGATCTAGGTGTGTTCCAATGAAGTGTTCAATATGACTTTGATATTGGCACTTAATGGTAGTGCCAGCCTCTGCTGCATAGAAATGGTAGCAATTGTCATGAAAATTACTTTATTTTCCACCTTTCTTTTTCCTCAGTGCTCTTAAAATAGCAGTGAAGCTATCAAGAATCTTCTTTCTCGTTTACCTAATTCTTGGCAATGTTACTGTAAAATACTGAAGTAATCTATCCTTCAACTTGAGAATGGTGCTTCTTCATTTTTCTCATAAAAGAAGGCCTGTGTGTATAATGATGTGTTTTATCTGTGTGTCCTGCCAAAACTTTATTTCTGCAGAGGTGTAGGCTCTTCTTTATTATCATATAAAGATATGTACTTGAACTAGCAGTCTTTCATACCCTTCCTAATTATGTCATGCACATGATTATTTAAGCAGAATATTTGTTGTTCTAACCTTACAATTGTTATATAAAGTGAAACAAAGGATGGTGGGGAAATGCATGCTAAAAAGATTAAAATTACATAGGATAAATTTTTTTGACTTGTTCTTACTTTAGAAGATGGACATTAGGTCCAGTTTTGTTTCATTTTACTGTCATGATTACTTTGTTGGTGTACTCCTAAGATGTCCTTTCCAATTTTTTTCAAACAGTAATTGAATGGAAAATACAAATGACTGTAGAGGGTGCTTGGATTCTTCCCTTTGTTTTATTTCTGTGAGTTAAAGTATTTGGAAGTCTTTAGTGTTGGGATATGTATGCATGTCTGATGTATTTCTTGCTGGTTCTGCTGCTGGGAAAAGGTATAGAGGAATCATTCATGGTGGGGGGGAGGAAAGAAGAAGCGCTGAAGATGGCTTCTGCCTTCCTTTGCTCCCAGAACCTGTGTGGAGGTTCAAGACAAAGCACCAAAATCCTACCCACTTTCTATCAGCTTCTAGTATCTTGGGTGCCTACTACTCAGACATTGATGGAAAAAACAACTCACAAGTAGTGCAAAGATGCATCCTCTTCTGAACGTGCTTTTTTTCATCCCCAATTTAACAGCAGAGCGTAACAGCAACACTGTGTTCTTAACCAGCATTGCCCCAAAGCCTTACTTAATCTTACTTCCTTTTGCTCATGTGTTTCTAGGCGTTCCAGTCTCCTGTTTAATGTACAGTCCTTATCTGTATTACCTTGCCTAAAAGATTGTTTTGTATGTACCTTATGATCAGGCACCTCCAAGCCCAGCATGAGTTCTGGAACAGTGTCTGTACTTTAATGTGCTTCTGCTTAACACGTAGCCGGCTGGTAGAGATGTAGCCAGTCCTTCTCATGGACACCATTCTCTCTGATTGTCCAGCTCTACTGCTGTGACACTGGCCTGTGGGTGAAAACAGAGGCGTCACTTTAATAGACTACAAAAACCTTTGTCTTCATTAATTAAAGGAACTTACAGTTAAACTCCCCATTTTTCAAAGCTTTTCTACCTTGCTATTGGGGGAAAGCTAACTTCTTGCGAATTAGAGCGTTACTTCGTTTTCTGCAGTTTACCTCTAGCTCTGTTCAGCCTGTTTGTCTTGGCTCACAGAAAGGGCTGGTTGGCTCCCCCCACCCAAAACCTGTTACATTTTTGAAGGGAAAGAATTTAACCCTTATCAATTCCATCTTGTGTTCTAAGTTGTTGCTGACTGAGGAAAGAATCTGCAGCTCATATAGGGGCTGCTTTTTACATCTTTCAAGCGATGTCTGCTAGCAGAGAACAACAGATAGGAAATGTTTTTCCTTGAGGCTGTATGAGAGTGACTGTGTCTCTTGCTTATGTGTTGCATAAGAACTAAAGCAATTGACATTGGGCCAAACACATTAATAGTTACATTTTTCCCAACTCCAGTTATTTTAGGAACTGTGTAATTTTCAGCATGCCAGTGTAACTATGGTAATTCTAAACACCAACAGCGATTCTGTGGTTTCATCACAACTGGAGGTAATCATCTGATTGTCAGGGTTTTAAAAGGGTTAAGCCACAGTTACAGGCTGTACTGAACACACTCTTGTTTTGGCATCAAGGAATTGATGAAATTATGTGCATGTTCTTGCAGGTTTCAAGGGGGAAAATGTCCATCCACAAACATGTGGAGGAAGAGACACTCCAGTTATTTAAGCATAGGAGTTTAGGACCATTTCAGATGCCCAGGCTATCTAAGATAACTATGGGGGGTAGGCAGATAAAACATACAACCTAAGTTTTATCTGATTTCTAACTGTGGTGGGGCATCTAAAATGGAGACAGAAACTTGCATTTTCTGGGAATTCAGTCTGACCTAGAGATTGCTTCCTTTTTTTTTTTTTTTCCCTGGTCTGTATTTTCCCTTGGTAATAATACTGGCTCTCCTAAAGAACAGATGTAGGGTCTCTCTCATCTAAATCTTTAAAAGAATGTACGCATGTAAAGTGAAGTGTCTTATCTTTTTTCCAAAAACTATCAAATTATGCTCTGTCGGTACACAAAGTATTATATTCGGTTATTGTCTCGGTAACCATGTAGAAGGGGCAGCATAAAGTCCACTCTTGACCGGTTATTAAAACTTAATTTTTCAGTTCTCTTTTTGAACCTGAAACATCGTAAGGTTTTCAGGGAAGCTACTGAAATATTTGTACACCATATCAAACGACATCAGCATTTTTTCTTTTCTTACTTCTGAAGCCTAGAAATGAATTTCAGAAGTCATTAGTGCAAGTTCATAAAAGGCCCAAGCTGTAAAGGTGGACAAAGTCAAGTGTTTTATTTCTGATGGGGAAAATGCTTCTCAGAAAACACAAGCAGGAACCTCAGCTAGAGTGCTTGACTGCTCATCTGTACTCTCTCCCAACTGCTTTTATTTTGTTGTAGCTGTTTCCACAGTCGTTGTAATTTTTGAAAACCATAAACAGACCTCTTCCCATGTTTATAAAATGGCTTATCAAATTAAGATTCATTGTGTTTTCCTTCCAGTTTGTTTGTTTGTTGTAGCTAGTAAAGCTATGCTGTCAAGGTTATTGTGCTTCCCTGCTAAAGCACTGAGCTCTAAACTTTACTTGGCTCTGAAATGTTTCCTAGGGTTCCTCAAAGTAATTCCTTTCTTGTATTTTCTGGATCATAACCTTGGGGCAGCTCTACTCTTTAATGGATTAGAAAAGGCGATTAGTGGGTATTTTGTTTGGTTGTTTTCTTTCTTGCCCACTTTCTCCAGTGAAAATTGGCACAAGAGAAAGCAATCTTCAAATACCGTTTTAAAGTCTATATTGCTTTTGCAATTCCACTTGTAAGATGTTTTGTGTCAAAAGAAGTGTACATTTATGTCAAAAGTTTTCCTGCTCGAAGGCCTGGCCAGGATTTTATCTGTGTGTTGTAAAATTCAACAGGAAGAAATGGAATATGTCGAACTCTTAGCAGCAGAAAAACATCAGGTTGAAGCCCTTAAGAACATGCAGCACCAAAATAAAAGCCTGTCAATACTTGATGAAATTCTAGAAGATGTCAGGAAGGCAGCTGATAGATTGGAAGAGGAAATAGAAGAGCATGCCTTTGATGACAACAAATCTGTAAGTGATGTTTTACACTCAGTTTTTTCATTGGTGTGGATTTATTTTTTCAGTTGATATTTGCACTGTAGGGGTATTTCTCTTGCGTTAAATAGTTGTTAGGATTTTGGTGGCTATATTTAGAAAACAAAACAAAAAACATTTGGCTCTCCATTTGATTTTGCTTCCCTTTCAACAGAAGAAAGTATTTAGTGGTAGAATGATTGCTTATTAGGAGTGAGCGAACAGGAATAATTACTCCTTTTTGCTAGTGATTTCTGTGGTTTTGATTTGAAAGTCCTCCCTGCAGCTGCCACTTTGACAGTGACAAGTGTAGTCTATCTCACTGATACAGCCCATGAGAGTTATGACATCTCAGTGGTGGTGGTGGGGACTGTGGTATTTAGACTTTGCAGGATGTGGAGTTACCACGTTAAGCGTAGTCTCCACTTTTCTCTCTTCCATTTTGTTGAGAAAGTTATGGGAGAACAACAATCCTTGCAGTTACCTTTTCCCAGACTGTGAAAACTATCTTATTCAAGGTAAGGACTTGAACTGTGTTTGTGGAGTTGCTTTCTTCGACTTCTGACTTTCTCTGCTTTCCTTACCTTGGCCTGTTTGCGTTGTTCACTGTTTGTGTGTTGCATGATGGACGGTATCCCTCAGGTAAGGCTGGGAGTACATCAGTTTATTATAGTGTCCTGTTGTGCCGTCCTCGGAGACTGACTCTAAATTAGTCCTGCTTGCATAAACGTGGGTTGCAATTTTATTTGGCTTTTGCTCTTGAACGGTTTTTGTTGACTTGCAGGTTGACTTCCGAGGCAAGCATAGCTCTTGAATTCTGCTGAGGAGGAAAACCCATTGCCCTGTAGTAGAGAGCCAGACCATTTTTTGTAGTTGTACTTATATTGAGAGAAAGTGAAAGCAGCTTTTTATTTTGTATACACCAAATCACAGCAATTGTACCCAGTTGGAATCCTACCTAGCAGGATCAACAGCAGGGAAGGGACGAGCTAGCTGGAGTGCCCTCTCCTGTTCCGCTGGGGTATGACGGCACGTTTTAGAGAGACGGGGAAGGAGGTTTCTTCTGCTGCACCTGTTGAGTGGCAGAATGCCAAAGCATCTTTTTTTCTCCAGTGTACCTCTTTGCTTTTCTGCTTTTTTCTCACTATTCGTGAAAGAAAAGGAATTGTGAAGTGCCACCTGAAAGGCTATTTAACATCTTCATCTTTGCAAAAAACATCTAGTGTTTTTTCTCTTAAGCTAGAATAGTGGAATGTTAGAACAAAGAAGCTCTAATAGAATCATCAGTAATCTGATATAGATACCAAATCTTCTATTAAAATGCAATCAAATAGAGAAGTGTAGTAGGTAAAAATGAAAAAAAAAAAAGAATCAGAACTAACCTACTTAATAGAAGACAAGTATTTGCATACTGTATTCTGTTATGTATTAACCTACTTTCAGGAATTGCTGTTTTAGGAAATAAAATCCTGAAAGTAACTGTTTTCTCTTATTATGTCCTCAAATTTATTAGTATTTAAAAACTCATCTGAACCAGTGACATCTACTCTTGCTCTTCTAGTGTAGTCTGTCTTTTGTGGCTTCCCTTTTCTTTTGTAAAAGTAAAAATGCACCATAATATCTACACAACATATGATTTCATATATATTACACAAAAAAAACCCCAGACTGTTCTTTATAATGTCTTGATTTTATAAACATCTTCCCTTTTTTCCTAATGTTGTTTCTGACCTAGCCTGTGAACTCCACTAGATGAGGAAAGTGTTTATCCCATTGCATTGCTTTTATATGATCTTTGATACATTTTTAATTTTGATGCAGAGAAGTTTGGTTAGATTCCAGACACATAAGCTACCAAGTACAAAGGCACATATAACAAAATCTATATGAATTTGGAGTTACAGAGCTTCAAAGTAGGTGCTTCACTGCTGATGTGTTTTATAAGATAATTTTGCTTAGTTAACACTATCGCTGATGTCATAACATTAAATTCCCAAGAAGATACTAGAACAGATGTTGGCTTATTAGCATTTTGGTTTTTAGGCAAAGTAATAGTCATCTGCAAGATGAGGACAGTGCACTGAACAGTGAACTAATTCCAATTGTGAAAGTCAGTGTAAAGTATGTTTTATATTGCAGAGCCAACATTTAACTGTAAGCTCTGTTTCAGTATTCCTGGAGTAGCAACGAGGGTATGGGAGGAGGGGGTCAGAGGCAAAGATGACAGAAAAATGGTAGGATTGGACACTTATTGTGTGTTCTGATTAGAAACAGTTCTTCGTGTTTGCTGACTGTAGGGAAGCCTTTCTTCTTTGCTCCAATACTGTGAGAATAGTTTGCATGTATGTGGCATGCAGCTGCTCCTGCTTTCTCCCATCGTCTGAAAACATGGTTTGGTCTCTTAGGCTTGGCAATGGACACCTCATTCTGGAATGTAAAATAGCCTGGTAAGTGGGGAGCTTAGGGAAGTAAAGGCAAAATGTGTATAAAAAAACAGGGTTTGGGCAAAAAAGGGTCAAAATTCAATGTTCATAATGCATAAAAAGAAAATGGTCATCAGCCTCTCACTCCAACAGCTAAAAATGCTGATGTTTGATGCAGCTATTTTGTGCTTCTAAATAAGTCTGCAAACTTCATAATTTGTTTCAAATTCCTTTTTTCCCTTCTAATTCTTAGTGACTTCCAATTCTTTAGAGGCCCATCATATTGCATGACGTACAAAAACAGGGGAAGAGGTCATTCCCATGATAAAAATTTTTGTTTCATTATACACACGTGCACAAATGTAAGGAGTGGAAGAAAACAATAAAAGTTGCGGGTTAAATATTGAAAATGCAGTATTTGTCTGAACAGTTTGGGGGAATGTGCTGGGGAAACGGCAAAGAAAAATGGGAGGCTGTTTAATAGATGGCTTATGTGAATGCATTTCTTCATTAAATTGGGAAGTTGCTTGGGCAAAATATGGCAATCCAGAGAAGGTTAATGTTTTGTAGTCAGTCATTGGAATGACAACAGCCTGCTCTCTTTACTGGATTCTAAAAGGAGTAACAACCGTAACTGTTTCTGAGTATTGGTAGAATCTATGTTATTTAACATACAGTGAATAACGAAATCATCCTAGTATCTTCCACTTTGTAGTTAGAGGCACTGAAGACAGAGCTAGGTGGAAACAGTTCTTATCTTCTCTCCTTCAAATTTATGGGATGATGAATTTTTCATTACTTGGAATGCAGTCATCATTTCAGATTTTTGTGAACTGACTGTTACTTTGTAATCTCTAATTGGTTTTGTTCAAGGGAAAAAAATGTTAGATTTCAATCCAACCTTATGTATTCTAAATGTGATAAAACTTTTTTTAAAACAAATATTTTGGATTAGATGCAACTGAAAATACTGAATTGGCATTTTACAGTGGTGAAACCCTGTCTCTATATTTTTTTGTTTGCGCAATTTGGCTAAAGAGGTCTGGAAACCCCCTCGTTTTTAAAATGAAAGCAAATTATAGCCTTTTCCATTATGGACATCAAGTTTTGATAAAGAGACTGAAAGACTTCTTTAAGTCTGCAGTATTTTTAGTCAGTGTCAACAAATTCTGGAGCAACTTCAAGCACAGCTAGTAGTCTTTCCCTTTTTACTGTATGCTTCATTGACACACAGACACTTTTTTTTTTTTGCTTTCTTTTTCTTACAGGTGAGAGGTGTAAACTTTGAAGCGGTTTTAAGAGTGGAAGAAGATGAAGACAACTCCAAAAGAAATGCTTCAAAAAGAGAAGTCGAGGATGACTTGGGTCTTAGCATGCTTATTGATTCCCAAAACAATCAGTATATCCTTACCAAGCCCAGAGATTCAACCATTCCTCGTGCTGATCATCATTTCATAAAGGTAATAATTTTTAGACATTCTTGTCATTAGTTTTGGTCAGATTTAGTCCCACTAGTTTGCATGCCAGTACTGCTTGGATTGAATATAGTTTCAGCATTTGTCCCTCTAAATTTGCCCTAGAATTCATGATTCCCCTACCTACTGGTGATCTGGCCAATGTGTCCTCTGCTCCTAGTATAGTCTTCACAAGACTGATTGTGATGCTGCATGAATCTTCTCTGGTTTTATTTGATTTAACTTGCTTCACCTTTGGGGCACTGTCCCTTCTGTCAGACTGCACAGAGTTAAAGCAAGTTACTCCTGTGCCTGATAAGACACTTGCATGTTGTCACTAGAGAGAATTTGTGTCTTGTGATGAAAAAAGGGATGCTGAGAAATACATAGGTAGGGTTTTTTTATTGTATTTGTGCTTCATACAGAATAACTGGATTGGGATTTAAAAACCAAAATCCCCCCAAAGCCCCCAAGAAACCAAAATGCATCTGTTTCACCACTTTGTTTTAATGCAAAGTGTCACACTACCCCAATTCCCCAGGAAACTGTCTACTTCCTATAATGTGTTTTAAAATATTTTAAAAATTGATCAAAAGTCCCCAAAGCTCCCAATTACTTAAGGTAATTCATCTGCTTCACCTGCAAAACTGCAGTGCTTACACCTACAAAAAAGTGTTCAGGTTGGTTTAATGAAGTTGTGTTTTCTTTTGACAGGCAATATTCTATTTATCTTTTGAGAGACAATAGTCTTTAATTTCATCACAAATTTGTGTTCTTTATATTAACACATTTGAAAACCTTACATATATAGGATATTGTGACAATAGGAATGTTATCTTTGCCATGTGGGTGGCTGTGCACAACAATAGGATTGCCAACCATGTTTGGGTATATCATCTGCGGAGTACTCTTAGGACCATCAGGACTAAATAGTATCAAGGTAAGTGTGCAAGTTGCTTCCTGACTGATTCCACTTGTTGAAACCTTTACAAGTAGTTTTAAAAGAATATGGTATCGCCAACCTCAAATGTATTTAAAAAAAAAAAAACAAAAACAAAAAACCAAACAAACATAATCCCCAAACCTGGACCTTTGCAAAATGAGACCTTAAAACTTTGTCGTTGAATCACTTTTGTTTTCAATTTTTTTTCTTCTATATAATCCTGACATAAGCAGTTGTTGAAAGTGAAAGCTGAAGGTTGTGTGTTGCGTGAGGGGGTGTGTGTTTTTTCTTTTTGTTTTTAATCGTAAAGCATCACATTTGAGAACCAAATCATTTAAATTGTATCAAATATTCCGAAACTTGCAAAAAGTCAGTGTTGGCAGTGGAGGAGTGTTTAAAACAAGTAGTTCCCTAAGTAGCATAGCTTGGCTTCCTAGAAGGTTATTTTGTGTCTCTGTAGCTCTTTCATCCATCCTAGTCACCCTAGTTCTGCTCCAGTCCCCTACCCACATTCCTAAAGTCTCTTGAACCTTTTTAGCTTCATCACGTGTACCCTGATTACTAGTTCATGTGAAACCGTGGGCTGTGGTTGGCCAGATATTGCACAGGTTTTGATTAGGGGTCTGGTGCGCATTAACAGATTGTTTAGCCAGCAGGCAAAACAGAAGACATGTTAAGGTTGCGTGGTGATGTCTGGTTGAGTTACACATTTCTGTTATATTGATATCCACGTAACTGCTTGGAACTTGCTGTCTTTGCAACATCTGCTCTTATGTGGACTGTTGTTGAAAATGACTCTGGGGCTCAAAGTTAAGTAGGGATGAGTAGAAATCGTATGATTTTGTCAATCTCTTATTGGAAGAGAAGGCTACAAATACTACACTTCCAAACTTTCATATTCTAAACCAGAGATTATATAATAAACTTTGTGTCATACATAACTTCTGGGTTGAGAAGGTCTGGAAAGCTTGACCACTTAGACTGAGAAACAGGTCTGTAAGCTTGGTATTAGACAGAGATTCAGTGAATTTTCAGAGACTTATGCTGAGGAAGATGATGTGGTCAGAACAGACATAAGAGAGGTTTCTTTAGGACAGTTTCTTAGTGAGCTGGCTGTTTCTTGTGGAGCTGTGATTAAACATTATTTATATGGATAACATTCCTGTTGACTGGGTCTCTTGTGTATACTCTCCTTTTGCCTCTTTTGTATTTCATAAAAAAAGTTGAATGTTGTAGGAACTCAGGAGGCAGGCAGATTCTAACCTGGCAGGGAAAGTAGTTTCCATCTCCACTTCTCTGTGACTGATGATAGACTTTGTCCTCTTCTGCTCTGGACTCTAAATACATAGAAATGAAATGTTAGGGTTTTCTGCTGTGATGAAGATGATCACCACTTTTCTTGCTGTAGCATCCTTCTCTGAAGTAGAAAGGCTGGTAGTTGTACTGGTCTGAGAGATGGATGCATGGTGTCTATAGGATAGAGAGCAGAACAGCAACTACAGTCTAGCAGAATGGTCATACCAACAGACCAATAAAATAACTAGCCAGAAGTAACTTCTGGAATGCAAGCCTTGGGGGTTTAATAGCATATGCATGAAATGTAACCTATTTATTTTCAACAAGCCAGCAAGCTTACCTAGATCAACACACATATGCGTTTTGGGTGACCAGCACTATCCAACCAAATTATCTAGTAGCAGCCAGGTGATGAGAAAAATGTTTGAACCCTAAAGATGCTGAGGGAACTTCTGATGTCATATGACCAGCAACGAACTACCTATGGAAACATGATGAGAAACTATTTGTTGTGTAAGCGGACTTATAATTTGTATTATAAGTATGCTGCTGTGCACTGATTTTTATTTTATTTCTTTTAAAGTCTATTGTACAGGTGGAGACGTTAGGAGAGTTTGGTGTATTCTTCACTCTCTTTCTAGTTGGTCTGGAATTTTCTCCTGAAAGATTAAGAAAGGTATTTTTGTATAATACCTCTACATTACAGGATTTAATTGCTGATGTTCAAGCTATCAGTTATATTTGATTTTTACATTTTCCCTATAATACACTGGCATAACTGTACATTTTTGAAAAGACAAATATGACATTTGCTTCTCTTTAACTCTTTGGAAAGAACGCAATGCTTTATTTGTTCGGTGTCTCAAAAAAAAATTTGCTATTCCTCTTCATTTTAGTAAAGCAGTGATTACTAGAAAAATTTCACACAATTTATGGCAATCCATTTCTGCTGTATTTTAATATGCAGTAACGTGCAGTTGCTGTTACGGAGTGTCTGGTCATGTTTGCCAGTCCTATTATAAAAAAAAATAAATCCGTTTGTTAAGTAAGTGCTGCATACTGAATTGATGATACATGCTGTACTGGCTAATAAACTGATTCTGCAAGTACGTTAGCACAATCTGGAATATTACATGATGTGGCCTTCAGGATTCAGCAAAAAAGTACAAGTTTTCTTTTGGTCTTAATTAAAAAAAAAAAGTTATAAACCAGCTAGAATTTTAATAGTGGAAAATACTGCTGCAAAATATATAAAGACTCTATGTATGTAAAGAATTGTTTTGTCCTGAACTGATGGTTGTGAGTTCCTGAGACTTTATAAAAGCTTTAATTGAAAGGTGTTAAAATTTATGAGCATTCAGCTTAATCGGATATTTCTAGTTCATCTAAAGTCAAAGATAAAAATCAGTAATTCAAGGGTTCCTAAACTGTAGTATGTCAATTGTTACTGCAGAATTGTGTGCTCAGTAGTATGGAGCGGGCTGCTGGTATTGATGATGGTCTTTGCCACTCCCATTTTTTCCCCACCCTGGAATCACATCAGATAACTGGTCTTCCATTTGATGATTTTAATGTATTACAACCCATACTGGACCTTTGGCCCTGAATTTGTCTGTGAGCTTTGGGAAATTTACCTAATTTGTGTTAATGAGCCTTCTGGCACAGAATATTATCTACTAGGCATAACAACTTCAGAGTTTTAGGACATATAGGATGACAGTCTGTTACTACTGTGGCCTAGCACTGCAGCCCCAAATCCTGCCTCTTTTAACTGCTTATTTGCACTGAAAATCACTGTAACTTACCAGTGAGAAAAGTGTCATCAGACTTCATCATAAGAACTTGTCTTCTTCCCAAGGTATGGAAAATATCTTTGCAAGGACCCTGCTACATGACAGTTCTGATGATTGCCTTTGGTTTACTATGGGGACACTTGCTCCAAATTAGACCAACACAAAGTGTTTTCATTTCCACTTGTTTATCTTTATCAAGCACGCCACTGGTGTCAAGATTTCTTGCAGGTAGTGTTCGAGGAGATAAAGAAGGTAAGTATGATTTTAAATACGGACTACTGTAGTATCTACAATAAAATCTGAAAGAAGTTGAGTTTGTAATATTACGAGAGAAACTAGTTAAAAACCAAAATAAAACCCACTGTTAAGCCTGGTTTACAAGCAGTCATCCTCCTTTAACACTGGTCAGTGTTGTGTATATTCTTGTTAAGAGGTGTACCTGCTATTTACATAGCCAGTCCTCTTTGGAGAAAGACAGTGTAGCCCAATCAGTACTCTCCACACTATGAATGGACTTTACTGAGGGTCTGGAATCTTTTGTGTTTTACTATTGGTCTGTCATCAGGACAGAAAGGCTAACTTAAATAATTCACATCCTTCTTCAGCAAACTAAGAGCAGCTCAGGTAGTCTTTCATAGCTAATAGCTCTTCAAATAAATATTTTCAAGTGCCATATTGCTAGCCTCTCAAAGACTTCTAAATGTTTCTTTTCAAAAGTTTTGCCAGCCTGCTTTCTTCTGCTTAAACCTCCCCCATACATACTGTACTAAAATTCTCTCCGCCCCTTAGAATATTCATATTCTAATGCCTAAATTCAGAGTGTGTATTTTACACATGCTGGCTCTTACATATGTCTGTTATTCTAAGGACTGTATGTTTTCAGTAAAGGAGTTCCAGTAAATGTGTAACTACTGCTTAACTGCTAAGCAAAGTCTATATTTTTATTGTGTAACAGAAGCCTCGTATGAATATTTTATTTATATTTTAATATATCTTTGTATATATTTTAATTTACTTACTGGTGGTGGCAGAAAAAAAACCCCAGAATGCTTTGAACGACTTTACCCCATTGAGAACTATACTTGGCCCCCATTTGATTAAGACGTTTCTAGATTTCTGAGCACTGCAAGCATTCATAGATTCTGATGAACATTTCCATGACTGCTTTGTTGGTGTACAGGGGATATTGACTACAGTAGTGTACTACTGGGCATGCTGGTGATGCAGGATGTGCAGCTTGGTTTATTTATAGCTGTCATGCCTACACTCATTCAAGCTGGAGCGAGCACATATTCCAGGTAAAAAAAAAATTATTGTATGTATTTTCCCCCCACCCTCTTCCAATTAGTATGTAGATTGCAAATATGGATATGAGAGCACTACCATTACATGGAAGTAAATTTTAGGCTGTAAAAGAGATTGCTGGGCACTCAGCAGATTTCGTATTCAACTTGCTTACTAATGTATCTAAATATCTTACTGTAGCTACTCAGTTTTGAACATCTGTGGAATTAGATCTTTTCACTTAAGGGGAACTGGTTGGGAGACATGAGAGCACTTGAAAGAAACGTTTTGTTTGTTCTTCTCTTCCAGCATTTTCAAGGAAATACTGAGAATACTGATACTGATTGGCCAAATTCTCTTTTCTCTGGCTGCTGTTTTTCTTGTATGTCTTGTTATAAAGACTTATCTCATAGGACCATATTATCGCAAGTTGCATGCAGAAAGCAAAGGGAATAAAGAAATCCTCATTCTAGGAATAACTGCATTCATCTTCCTTATGTTAACGGTAATCTTTTAAATTAATAAAACATTTTGATACATGTGGTAGCTTTACTGCATCAGTATCACAAAAGCCATTGTACTCACTGTTATTACATATCCATGTACCTCTAGTTAATTATTTGGTTTTAAAATGTTTTAAAACAAACCCGAAATGCACAGATGATTCATGCAGTAAGAAGACATAAAATGTGAATGTCAGTCAGCTGAACTTCTGCTGGTAACTTTTAGTACAGCCAGTTAAAGAATCATGATTCCAGTTTTAATTTTGGGCTACTTGATATGTTTGAAAATAAATTAGGATGGGTTTTGAGATACTGATTGGTGACATTTGCTCACGATTTTCTTCTCAACAGCAAATTCTCAATGTGGTTTTTATTATAAAATACTTTTTCGGTGGGAGATAAACTGTTTGGAATGAAGTAGAGAAATGCCCCAAGATTCATAGGTTTTGATATCCCTTTTGGGTTTGGTTCATCTTCCTTCTGTTTGTTTCTATCTCACATTTCAGCCCTCCGAAAGTCTCTTCTGCTGAAGAACAGGATGTGACAGTCTCTGATAATGTTGTGGGTTTGAAACTCCATTATCCTGGTGTGAAAAAAAAACCCCCCTTGTGGGTCAAGGTAAAGGCAGTTTAACAAAAGAAAAGCAAAGGCCACATGCGGAAGCAAAAGGAAAACAAAGATTTTATTCTCTACTTCCCGTTAACAGGCGATGTCCGGCTACTTCCTGGGAAGCCAGGCTTCAGTACACGTAGCAGTTGGTCCGGAAGCCAAACTTTGTAAATAATGAATGCCAGTCCCCCCACCTTTCTCTTAGCTTTTATTGCTGAGCCAACATCACATGGTATGGAACATCCCTTTGGTCAGTTTGGGTTAGCTGTCTTGGCTATGTCCCCTCTAAGATCTTCCCCCTGCCCCCCTCACCGGTAGGCTAGGGTTGGACATGTTGGAGAGTCAGCATTGATGCTGAGCCAGCACTGCTCAGCAGTAGCCAGAATGCTGGTGTGTTATCAGTACCTTTCTAGCCACCAAGAGAAAGCACAGCACTGTGAGGGCTGCTATGGGTAAGATGAACTCCATCAGCCAGACTCAATGCACCTGGATGTGCAGATTGTTATGTCTTCTGACAGAAGGTCAAGAAAGAAGTTAGTGAGTGCATAGCTTTACAATTTGTTTATTTCTACTGTATGGGTTAAAAATGCCATCCCTCTAAACAGCTATTCATATTCCAAAGAGGAGTGCCATCTAGTAAGAGAAGGAACAAAACCAGTTTCTCCTTTTTACTTTCTATCAAGCAGACATAACATTTGTAGAACAACTTCAATAGAAACCAACAACATCCAAAGCTGCGTAAAATATTATGGTATCTAGAAGCAGTCTTAGTTTCATTAAAAATATGGCCTACATAGGCCGACCTATCTAAATTTGGCATATTGTACCCAAATCACGTATTGGATGCACAAAGAGTTTGCGTGACTTTACGTAAGATACGTGTGTATACAAACCTGAGGGAGAATAGCTTTGAGTGTGTTGGATTCACACTGCAAAAGAGAATGCTTCTTCAGCATGGGAAATGTTTGTGAAGGAGCAAATACTTTGTGTACTTTAAGTGAAAGCAATTTTCCTTTTAAAGTTGATAAATAATGTATCAAAGGGAACAGTACAAAGGATACTGCATGTAAGCTCAGTAAACCGGTTGAGATGTTTGATGCTCACTGACACCGATACATGCATTATAGTAATACTACAAAAAAAACCCAAAAATAAAAACAAACAAACAACCCCCACCCCCCCAGAAAAAAAACCAGTACTTGGTTGTCCAGCTGAGCAGTTCAACAAACAAATCTTAAATCTTGATTGGTATAGATGCCCTACTATATCAGGAATAAAAACATAGAATGGGGGATGGCAATATCATTTGGAGAAAAAAAAAAAAAGTTGTATGTGTTTGGAAAGGATAAATTAAGGGGTTTGGGTGTCAGGTAGGAAAGCAATTAAACTGTCATGGTTCCTGCAAAGATCTTTCTCCTTTGAAAATCAAGCCTAAATATTGATGGAGTTTGTATAATTATCTGCAAACACAGAATTTTCCATACTCGTGTAATTCTAAAAAAGCTTCTGGATTTGTAGAGGGAGCAATATGAGAGTGTATATTTTAGTGGCCTTAACCAAAGATGACTCTGTGGCTCCATTTAGAAAATTTGAGATACCTTTTTAAACAAAATATTTTAACTCTCTGTCTAGCACGTGAGTTAGTCTGCAGGCCACATCCTTTCCACTACATGACAAAGGGAGTAGGAAAGATCCTGTATTCCTGCTTCATGCATACGGTTACATGCACACAGTTACTTGTTACATGCTTCAGTGTTGACTGGATTTCTGGGATCTACATAAGTTTATCTTGTATTGGGGTTCATCTGTAACACTAGCACATGTAATGCACACTATATAGAAACTTATTTTTTTTGTTTCCTGTGTTGGAAAAGCTCGGATGACTAAACAAGAACTGACATTTCTCTATCAATAAGGGCAAATTCTATATGGGAAAACAAGAGGGGGGGATAGGACAGAAGCCAATAAGCAATTTTGATATAAGGGGTTATGCTGTCAGTTGAGGAACTTTCTGTATGGAAGTGACTTTCGAGCATTTCTGAACTGCTTGGTTCACTTGGAAAACATTGCAGCTCATTAAATCTGAAACAGGATCTTAAATACATCTCTTCTTGATAAACTAACTTAAAGTTAAAGAGACGCAAAAAATCTCAAATATGAGGTATTCTACCAAGTTTTGGAGCTTAAGATGCCTCTTTCTGTATAACTTCAGAAGTAACTGAAATAGCCCCTCCCTTTTTCCTCTCAACTAATTAGGCAGATTGAGGGTGGGGAGGAGGGGGATTGTGTCAAGTGCCAGTCCTATAAAAGTCTGGCTGACTGCAAGACAGTTGTGCATCCTTCAATCATGTACCTTGTCATCAGTAGCAGAGGTTCAGTAGATCGTTATTACACTTTCAGCAACTTCCTTTCAAGCTTTGAGTTAAGCAGATACTGCTTTTTTTTTTTTTTTTTTTTTTTTTTTTTAAATTCGGAAACTATTCTCCCAAATGCAACCTAAAGAGCAAATCTAGCTTATGGTTTCAAAGGTGACCATTTAGGATTGATGGCCAAACCGGTACTTTTAGGTTGAGATATATACCACAGTAAGCTGAAGAACATGTTATAAGTCAGCCAGAGAGTTCTCTGATGTGGTGTTGCTTTTTCATGTTCTGTATATACAGAAAATTTACGAGGAAAATTGTTTCAAACACTGTCCTGGTAATGAATTGCTGTATTTGGTATCTGCAGGACAACAGTGGTCAGTTTTGTTATGTTTTAGAACTAAGTTGCTGAATGCTATTAAGGAATTGGAAAAAAATAAAACCTGACCTGACAAGAAGAATAGTGGTTATATTTCTATGTAACTCTGCATACACACAGGGTGTGGGGGGGAAGTCGCTTCCAGTTTGACTGCATTATGGTTGACCTGGGATGATGGCAGCAAACAGGGAAATTGCCGGCTTGCTTTATATACCAAACAGATGAAAAGAAAAAAAACCAACAAAACCCCCCCCAACTATGTTACAGCAGCACTTTATATATGAAAATGTATGTTCTTTTCCCTGCAGTGTATTAGGAATGTTGTTCCTTGTTTGCCTGGAGTACTTCTCAATGGCTCATAACCTCCTTATGAACTCTTTTTTTATCAATTAAAATGAGAAGATTAAGGTAGAACTGTAATCTCAAATATTCTAGTTAGTTATTTAATAAAATGCAGTTAAGATGGAGGTTTTTGCAAGGCTCACAAAAAATTGTTTCCATTTCCATTAAGGCTTTGCTTCCTTAAAATGCAAACTTAGAATTCACCTCTTTACTCTTGGGCAGATTTAAGTTATTAAAGCCTGAAATTCTAATACATTTATTTTCATCCGGGATTTTTTAAATTTTACTGGCTTATGATATTCATTAAGCTTCTATGATGATTAAAGAGTGGCAATAAGATGCACATTATTAAAGAATATAGGCAAACCAACTGCTGAACAAATAGTTGAAATTCAGCTGCAACATGTTACAGCAGTAATGTTTATTTCTTTATTTATTGCTATGGTAGAACATTTCAACCTAAAAATCCAATAATCTAGTGAAGGCAAAGCAATCCTTGCTGAATTAGAGTAAAATGGAGCCTTTGAAAACAACTGAAAACTAAATTGTACTGGGAAAAACATGTAAATTGACAAAACTTTTCATTTAATTTTGAATGAAAAAGCTTTCTGTAATGTAGGAGTTGAGAAAAGGACAGTGCAGAGCCCAGGGATTAGTAATTGTTAGGGCCCTGTTTGGTAAAGGCAAAACATTAAAAATGATGCAAGCAGAGAGGGAATACAAAACGCAAAATACTTTCCAAGTTTTGCTTAGATAAGAAATTTTGCTTAGAATGCCTTCCTGCCAGTAAAACAAACCCTCTCCAGTCCGTGTGTGCGTGTGCACCCACACATTATATATAATAAACCCTGATGCTACAGATTTAGTTGAGGAAATGTATCTACTTATTGGTAATACTATTGGACAACCAGAGACCAGGATGGGAACAGTAAAAGGAATTTCTATATAAATCTAGATACAAATTCGAAGAACTTATAGAGGAGGGGGGATGGGGTTAAGGAAATAATGTAATATTTGGTTTTTCACTTCACACTTTTCTGTGTGTAGAGTGACCTGATTTTGTAGACCTGAAGTTGTGTAGTACCTAGAGAGTAGACAAGAAATAGCAAAATTTGCCTTTTTATCAACAAGGCCCTTGAGCTCATACTTAGCTTGCCGGAGAGTGAAGGAATGGAATTCAGTTTTTATGTGGTGGGAGCAAACCCAGATGGGCATACAGTTCGCTCCAGTTATGTCTGATGCTTTCTGAACAAGCGTGTTTCTTTCACACTTAAATCGCTCCTTGTTTGCTGAATAGTGTTTCTCGTAATGGCACAGTATCATGCAATTCTGATACAAGAGATGGTAACTCCCTTCTTACATGGTAACCTAACCATGTGCATGTGAACACTTAAAACGTTAGCTATAAAAGTTTTGATCTGGAGCTCTCTTATAGCTGATAACACTTAAGTGGGGGGGGGGGATTATAGCTGAATAGTAAAAATAATTCTAGCTTTATTTATATTGGATCTTAACCATATTCCAGAGGTTGTGACTTTTAAAGCAACTGATGTATGATTGGGAAGAACTTAAATGTTTCCTATTCATAACTGTTTCCTTTATATTATTCATCTTTTGGTGATTTTAAAGCCTTTTATTTACGTTTCCTTCTTCCCTCTTACAATTTCAAATTGTGGTGAAAAGCACTGAAATTCTTTTGTTTTAAAATGAGAGTAACATTATAAAGTTATTTTGTTGGTTTTGTCTGATTAGCAACTATTTGCATTAGTTGACAGAACCAATTTGTTTTCTTAAATGTCTTGCAATAAATTACAGACCGTTAGCACAAATGGAATTATGTGATGAGCATTCAGACCGTAATACTTCAATACACAGAAGTCTGGGGTTTATTTTTAGGTGGCACTTTATGCATAGCCTGGAGACTTGTTTATTGGGTCTTGTGCTCTCCATTAACTTCAAGTCACTTGAGTTTTAGCTTCATGCTTTACAGTGTAACACTGTTCAAGATATCATGAACGTTGTCCGTAAATGTACTATGGTGTATTGTTGCTTAATCTAAATTAGCATGGAAATAAAATCTTCAGTTTTAAATGTTCTATTAATATTAATAGCATTGCCCTTTCTCAGCAAGATGACCGTCTGCAGCAGCATGGTTTTAAAGTAATTCTTTTAAAACATGCTTTATACTAAAAGTACTGCTTGCTTTTTTAATGTTCTGAGCATTGCCTTAAGCAGTTTCTATGGTTTTAGTTCAGTCTCTTTACATGTGTTTCATCTCTTCCTTCTAGTACAGTATTCAAATAATAAAAAAGAATGAAAACAGTCTGAATTCTTTCAAACGGATACATGCTTCATTTCAGCAGTTTACTTCACATGCTCAAATTCATCCCTATTCAGTAAAGCACACAGGCACATTTAAGTCCAATTTACAATAATAAAATGTAATTTATGCCCGGGACTTCTGCTAAATTGAGACTTTTCTCCCAAATTATAAGCTTTGATTTTTATTTTTTCCTCTTGTTTGACAGCTGGAAAGTATGCTGTTCTTACTGCTTTATTTCATAGCCTCAGTGTATTATGCAATCCTGACTCCAAAGCTGTTACGGTCTTTCTCGTTTTTGTGAAATCAGATGCTATCCTTAAGAGTGACACAAAGCATTACAATGTAGATTAAGAAATTTGTTTTTGTGGGGAAGGAGATAACATGGAGGGGAAACTGGTTTTGTGAGTCTTTTGTACAAATACAATACTGCAGAACACTGAAATACGCTGATTTCTGTTTGTTGTTGAACTTGCATAAAGACATAGTAATTTCCTACATTCAGTATAATGTACAGTTTTATAATTTCACTGTGAAATGGTATGTAAAGTCACTCAGGGCCACAGAGTACGGCAATAGATTTTCTGTTATTCCTTGACAGATCACAGAGCTGTTGGATGTTTCAATGGAGCTGGGATGCTTCTTAGCTGGAGCTCTAATCTCTTCTCAGGGTCACATGGTTACTGAGGAGATTATGTCCTGTATTGAACCAATACGTGACTTTCTTGCCATCATTTTCTTTGCATCCATAGGTAACTTCTAAGAAAACTTACTTACAAAATAGTGCTAACCTACCAATGTGGGGAAAGAGGAGAAAAAAAAATGGTGTCTAAACGGTCGTGGGTGCGGTCGGAGCGGGAGAGTGAAGATTTTTTTTTATTATTTTGTTAAGATACTAAAGTGTTAACTGACCACAATATTGGTTTGATTTTGCTAATATTTTTAGAGGCAATATCCATGTCGTACTCTCTATTCTTATTTGTCAATTTTTCATTGTTAATTCTGAATTTGTCCAGGCTATTCAAAACATATAACTAAAAATTCTAAGGTTAAAAGATGGTTTTGGTTTGGGTTTTTTGCCTTTTTTTTTTTTTTTTTTTATTTTTTTTTAAATGTTCTTCTGTCTTCACAGTTGGATATATTTTTACTTTATACTAAAATTGTTTCACTATTTTGAGTCAGTTGGTGGAGTAGATTAAGGTCCTTATGGCTTGGTTTTCTCTAGAAGCAGAATATGATAACTGAAACAGATTTTTTTTTTTTTAATAGCCTCTTGTTTCTTTAGTTAGGAAAATGTGATCTGTGTGTTCTCAACGCAGGGAAAAAATAATTGAACAAGATGTATCTTAGAGACTACCTGAATGCCAACTGAAATGCAGCACTGATGCCTAAGGCCAGGAGAGTAACTCATCATGCTTGTTATCCAGAACAAGTTAACAAGTCAGTCGGTAGCTTAATTTTGAACTGCTACATTCTCTAGTTGTCCATGCATGCCCAGATACGCTTCCTCTAAAGGAGACAGAAACATGTTACTGAAGTGCTGAATGAGGAGGCAGGCCCTGTGAAAGCACTTGCCTCTCCCTATGGATTGTATAGGAGATGCATGTCCTATTTTGGAGGCACTGCAAGGTCTAAAATAGAGGGTTTGAATGTGGCCTTTTGCACAAAACCAACCTCCTTCAAACCATGCTTACTGAAAAATTCTTGCTGTTTGGTGTGTGTCCCCCCCCCAATACCACCCTTAGGTTTTTTTTTCTGGTTTTATTTTAAGTTTTCTATTGTTCTTTTTATCTCCATATATTTATTCAGGTAATAGTGAAGTCTCATCAGGATAATTTTAATACCTTTCCTTGTATACCTGTGCCAGTCTTGATTTTTGTTTTACCCAGCCCATGATAATAATGTGTGCTGATCAATCAGATTGCTTAGTAATAGATAAATTTATTTTAATAGCTTATTTTTTAATAAAGGGAGGAAAGTAACAAGCTACAGTAAAACTCTTGGGCCCATATAACTGACAAGGTTGGATGAGTAATTGCTAAATGCTCACAGGTAAGTTGTTTATGTGTTTCAGTAAAGATAGTGAGGGAGCGGACAGTGTTATCAGGGATACAAAGCATGACAGGTAACAATAAGCCCAAAGTTAATTTTACAGGGGACTGAAAAAAAATAGTGTCCTACACTCTTGTGACTGTATAAATTAAGACTAGAGATGAGACTTTGGTAGAGTACAAGAAAACAGCAAGAACTCAGTTGGCATTCTGGCAGCACTCTGTATAGCCTACCTTATACTGTAAGGAAATTATTTTAGTCATTCTGATACAGAATTTAAAAAACAAAATTCTTTTAAATGGTTGCTACCATTATAATTGCAAGAATGGAAAGAAAAGTGCCAAACAAGTTTGTATGATTTTACAGAAAATTGGGTGTTATTCCTGCCTCAAAAGTTAGCTAAAAATCAGGAAAATTAATTATATTATAGGCCTCTGACAAAATGTGACAATGCTTGCTTGTAAAAAAAAACCCAAACAACAAACAACCAAACACAAACCCAAAACCCTACAAAAAAACCCAAACAAAAACCCCCGACCTCTCTCCCCAAATAAACATTATCCCACCCTTCACCATTTACTTTCAATTCCTTTCAAATTTTGTGGTTAACAGGAAGTTTTCTGGGGTGGCAAGGAGGTAGGGTTTAAAAAGAAGTGATGTGATGTTGCAAAGAAAACCTGAGTAGGATAAAAAGTATTCCTTAAGCTTTTTAAAAAGAAGTCTAGTAAGAAAAGACTTCTTACTTGCTTTCTACTTCTATACAAACACATGCAAATGAAATGTATCTATAAATATATAAAGATTTACTATGTGAAATTATGTAAAGGCCACAGGGAAAGATTCTCCCCCGCTGCCTAAAGAGAAGGCTTGTTGCTATATGCAGCAAGCACCCTATTCTAGAGAGCAGAAACACTGGAGATCATGAGGTGGGATGGTAGACTATACACTGCAGTAATATAATTTCTGTGCCTTTTAGAATAAAGGAATAAATAGGGTAATTTGACTTAATTGAAGTGACTGTAAATATGTCATTTGGAAAAGTTAGTTCCTATTTTGCTTGTCTTAAATGCCTGCTTTTCTGTTCTCACTATAGAGATGCTTCTGGTGCCTAAAAGCTGAGCTGAATAGTACTTGTTCGTGTAATATCTGTAACAGTGGTCCTGCCCTTAGCTTGACCTGTGTAATGCTACTGCTTTCAAATTCACGCATGGGTGCATTTGTGGGAATACTACTCCTTTGCAGTTAGGCATTAACAGCTGCACTTTGAGTTCCTCTCTGTCTGTACATTCATTTAGGCCTGTGTGTGTTCTTCAAGGTTGCTGGCACTCCTTATGCTTTCTGCTGAAGTTAGAAAGTTCCTGTTAGTCCCTTGTCCTCACTGATATTTTTGAGAGAACATCTGGACCCATCCCACAGAGCCACATTTTGAGATCTTCCTTTCTCATTTCTGTTTTGGTACCTAGTACTCAGATTCTTCCCTTTCCACCTCTGCATCATTCGATTTTTGTTTTGATTGTTTTTTAGGAAGATGGAATGCATCTTTGCATAGACTGTTTGAATTTTTTCTTTTTTTAAAGGCTCCAATATCCCATTTTTTGTCAGTCTACAGGGTGTATGGGGTTTGAAATTGGGCATCTGGACCCTATCTGCTACTGGTGAGGAGGCATATTACTTAGGACCATAGAACCGTTCAGGTTGGAAAAGACCTTTAAGATCATCAAGTCCAACCATTAACCTAACCCTGCCATCCCACCACTAAACCATGTCCCTAAGCACCTCATCTACCTATCTTTTAAGTACCTCCAGGGATGGGGACTTGACCACTTCCCTGGGTAGCCTGTTCCAATGCCTGACAACCCTTTCAGTGAAGAAATTTTTCCTGACGTCCAATCTAAACCTGCCCTGGTGCAACTTGAGGCCATCACTCCTTACCTAGGAGACCTGAGAGAAGAGACTGACCCCCACCTCGCTACAACCTCCTGTCAGGCAGTTGTAGAGAGGTACTTCCACTGACTGACAAAGTTGTGTCCCTACAATGTGCTGTACAGATGTACTCACTTGCCAGGCTCCATGTTTCCCTTCTGGGTAAATCTTGTGGTCAGCATTGGACCTTTAATACAAGATGCTGAAAACCCTTTAACGGTGCGGTCGTCGTCTTCAGAAGACGGGTGGTGCTGATGCTGTCAGCACTACCACTGTCCAGAAAAAACACACACACAATGTTTCTCTGATGAGCCTCTTAACATTTCTGTTGAATTTTAGAGAAATCAAAGGAAGATCCCAACTGGAATTCATTAGGTGACATATATTACCTTCTCCTTATCCATCCAGCTCTATGGCTTTGTTGTCCTGCATGCAATGAAACTTGGAGGTTTCAAGCTCTCAGAACTGACATTAGAATCAAGAGGACTTTCCCCTTTGCAGAAAGATGGAGATGAATGTTGGTTTTCCCCTCTGCTACTTCATGAACTAGCCAGGGCTGTAGCATTTCTTGCATTTGCTAGCTATGATCTTAGGTTCATTAAGACTCTTCTTAATAAATACACCATCCCAATGAATTGCTAACATGATTTTTCTGAGTAATGTCCTGTCTTGAGAATGTGTCAGAATTAATTCTACTGGCTCCCATTTGACCAACAGAGTTCTGGTCTCTCTAATCTTGTTTGCCATCAAGGATCTCAAAGATTCCTTTTCTTGATGCTGGATCTTCCAGAGTGTGGTCATGACATTTGGATCTTCATGTGCTGTTTAGCAGCCATCCAGCAGATTGGTGGAATCTGTCTAATGGGGGGGATGGGAGAGGGAGTTCACTTGTTAAGAAAAAAGTACTTACAAAAACAATGTGCAAAATCTTGCTTGTAATCGTCCACAGAAGAACACGTACCGACTTAACACGAGTGAACTGTGCTTTTTGGCTTGACACTGATGCAAGGTCACCTTCACCCCAAGGACTCCATTCCAGCTATTCCAGAATGCTGCTTATGCTCAGCTCTGTGAAAATGTACCTAAGTGATATCCTAGCTATTGGTGATGGGCCAACATGCCACATGCTACCTGATGACGGTGCTGAAGTTCTTGAATTATTTGACTGAAGTGTTTCTTCCATTTTAGAGAGCAAGTCCATAGTGACTCTTGAACTTAGTCACAAAGTCTGATTAAAATCATTGAAATAAATGCCCATATTCATGCATCTTCTGTCTGTGAAGATAATCTTTCTGGTGACGTTCATGTTGCCAGGAAGGCTTCGTGTGCTTGTACAGCAGTCTGATATGACTCCTGGCCTTATCCTAAGTTTTCATCTAGTGCTGGGGCAAAAGTCTGTAATGACCATGAAACCCACTATGGTGGGATTTATTTCCCCCAAAACATGTCTGTGTGCTGGGATGTTTATTTGTTTGCTCAGAACAGCGTATGTAACAAGTTTAGGCTTGCTTCACCTTGCAGACGCTTACCTCCACAGAATTGATATAGAAACCTGCAGTAGTTTATGCCTCAGCTCTTTGGAATATGGTAATAAACACCATGTTGGGCAGCCATTCAAGTAGGCCTCAGACTGCCTGTCTGCTCCAGAACTGAAAAGGTAGCTCCACCGGTAGTGATGAGAGCACGAGGCTGTATTTATAGCCTCCCTGTGAAATCTTCGATTCCAGATGTGGCAGACATCTTACCAAGCATGACATTGTTACAGGCTGTATTTCTCTAGTTGTTTTTCATGTATGTTTCTGAGATTGGCCTAAAGGTGAATGAGCACATGATACACAGTAAAAAAAGAGAAGCTTCTTGCTCCTCCACTTGCATGTGCACACACATGTGGATTTCTTTTTTTGGTGTCATGTTCACATCTCTTATTCTGCCATCTCTCCCCTTATTCTGATAGTCTTTTGCCTTTGCGCTTTGGTAGTTGGAAGGAAATTAAGAAATCGAACAGGGCATGTACATGCTGACTAGGTAGTACTTGTATAAAAATCTCTGATGTACTTGAAGTACCTTTCCATCCACAGTGGAATGTGCGTATGGCCAAAACATTGTGAAGTTACTGTAAGTAAGTACTCTTGTGCACTCAGGAAGAAAAGATGACTCTTCATTCTCTACAGTTCTTCTGGCTCTGCAGTGCTCTGGGGCCTGCAAAATCAGTGAAAACTTGTCTTGCGTTGAAATAAGAAGTTACAGCATCCATTTACATGCCTTGTGCTTGAGAAAGCTAAACTCTTGTCCCTCTCCAGAAATAATTCGGTTGGAGAACTGCTAACTGTTATGACTTTATCGGAACGCCACCACTATTTTGGTTCCGCTTTTTAAGAGCTTTTTTGAAGGGGAATGAGCTTCCAAAGATACACAGTTATGTTTGCCTGCCCAAGTTCCTCATGCCCTAGGAGGAAAAAATGGACTTAGTCAGCTGTGAGTAAGATTCTTCCTCAGTGACTCCAGGACTTCTCCAACAAATACTTCTTTTTCTTATGTTATTATTAGCAGGATTTAGTTTTAAATTTCTGTGCTCTTCATGGTTCTTGTTATCTTGCTTCATATAATTGCCAAATAAAAATGACAAAAAAATTGCAAAAAAAGAAAAAAGAAAAGGTACAGACACACCCTCCCTCCCCTCCCCTCCCCCCAAGAAAAAAACCACCCAAAACCAACACAAATAACATCATAGCAATGGGGTTTTATGTAATTCCTTAATTGTTAGACCATGCTACTGAGTGCAGTCTAAGTGACTTTTCCAGTTCAGGTGACTTTCAGTGTTTGCAAGTGAGGCTCATGGGAACAAACCAGTTACATTTTCTATTGTAGCTATAGTGTATGCAAATGCTGAATATCATGTTCCTCCCATAGCGACAGTCCATTACCATGTCATACAAGAATGTTAAATAGCTAGCAAAGTGTATGTTACAGTCACTGTGCGGAACAATGGAATTGTTTTCCTGCAGTATTTTTATAGCTTTCATGAGGTGTGTTTCGGTTCAGATTCTGCATTGTTGACTGGTATGGAAGAGAGAAAACTTCATACAAGTGCTCGTGCATCGGTCATATACAGTTTAACTCAGTTGGGAATATTGTTTGTGCTAAACCCCTCCAAAGGAAAAAATGGTTGGATAATGCAGGAAGCGCTTTAGTGAGCTAGTAGGTAGTGTTGGTAGGTATGTTAGGGCTTTTTGTTTATTTGTTTTTGAAAATACAGTCTTGCAATTAAATCTGTTATTAACTCAGAAAATTATTATAGTAAGATATTGGCCTTAAACTTTGAAATATTGTTTTCTTTCCTCCTAGGACTTCATGTTTTCCCCACATTTGTAATATATGAACTCACAGTCTTACTATTTCTTACGTTGTCTGTGGTCATAATGAAGGTATTTTCTTTTTCTCTTTTTTATCTTTTAATAGTCTAAATAATCTTTGTGCTGCATGCTTTTATGAAAATTCTGTGCAAGAACTGAACATCTGATATAACACAGTGTTACATCTTCATTGTAAATCTGTATTTTGAGGAATCTGATTAGAATACTGTTTGATACAACATTCTTGGGGTATTAAAAAAAGGATCGTATTTAACGTTAAAAGTAACTTCACATGGAGAAACATCTTTAGTTTGGGATTTGTGACAGTTATCAACTGTTTCTATTCGAGTGAACAAGATGCTACTTTTTACTGTGCAATGTACGTTTGTCTCTTTTGACATTAATAGAGAAGAGACATTTGGAAGTCCACTAGCTTATTTTATGTCCAGAATAATTGTATTTGGTGCTACATATCTTCCAAAGACTGTACTATTTTACTTATTACATTTCTTTTATTTAAAACAAACAAACAAACCAAAACAAATCCACAGCAACTCCAAAACCCCCTGTTTTTAAAGTTTGTCTTGGCAGTGCTTGTCCTTTCTCTGATTCTTCCGAAGACCAGCCAGTATATCAAGTGGATTGTCTCAGCAGGACTGGCACAAGTCAGTGAATTCTCTTTTGTTCTGGGAAGCAGAGCACGCAGAGCAGGGATCATATCTCGGGAGGTAAGCTGTTCTATAGTTATTAACTTTGGGTTTTGCATCTGAATAACTTACTGGGATTTTGTATTACAATGTGTTTGAAACACCAATACGCTCCAGTTTTGTGGTATCTCTCAACTGTTAACAAATGGAATCAACCCATGTGAATGGGACATGGATGTCCCTGACAGGGTTCTTAGTTCCGTTTTTTTTACTTGCTTCATATTGTACTTCAACACTTTAAATAGCAGGTTTTACTTTTAAATAGCTTAGTTATAAATGCTTTACATTAACTGCTCTCACAACTTCTTTATTAACTGAGATTGCACCCAAGTCACTAAGACTGAGAAGACTTTGCTTTTAAAATCTTGATACAGCTGTAGAAAGAGGTAACTGAGAGTATAGGATTTGGATAAGAAAATATTAGTAAATAAGAACTAGAGAGCAGAAATGGTGAAATGGAAATTGCCTTAACATTTAAACAAGCAAACAAACTTGTAATCTTTACCTGCAAAGTGTGTTCATTGTAAATCCTCTGCAGAAGAAACAACCAGCTTTTTCAGTAGTCATGAAAAAATCCCTTAGGAAAGAAACCTTAAACTTAGTTTTATATTGAAGTTATGAGAACATTATTTTTTCAAAATGAAGTCTGCTTTGTGAAATTAAGTAAACTATGACTATGGGAGATATAACAAATGACCTCACTTTTCAGTGCTAGCTGCTTTCTCCTCTGCATCTCCGCTCACAAAAATACTCTGCTGGCGCTCTGAGCTTTTCATTGTGTGAGCAAGTGGGCTGTATAATGCTGGAACAAATTCCAAATAAACCACGTGTTAGAAACTTACACAATGCTGTTCACTTGCATAGGTAAAGGTGATTCATTTTCATGTTCACTCCTGCATATAATAAGGAGTTATAAATACTGTATGTTTGTATAGAGTTTCAAGATACCCATATGTGATCACAGAACCAGTTTAGGGGCCCACCCACTGCGCTTGGAGGCCTTTAGGCTTTCTTTTTTTCCTGTGGCAGCTCTCACATGATTGTCTACTGTTTAGGTTTATATAGCTCTGAAATTTCCAAAAGTCATTCTTCTGTTTGAGACCTCAAAACTACTTCCTGCTGCTGTTTTGTAAGACTCATTCAGACTACATAGTTAAGATCTTTTTTCGGAAGATGTGCAGCCTGACTTAAAGGGGGTTTTGTTTGCTTTTTTTTTAGCTTATAAAATAGTAGTGAACTTTGCCGTTATATCATTAAACCAGAATAGTTTGGGGTGGTTGGGTTTTTTTTGTTTGTTTTTGGGTTTTTTTTTAATTAAAGTGGTACTTGGCCTTTGACCTTTTAGCAAACTTTGAGCTTTCAAAATTGACCTCCAACTATACATGGAAATAATTGGTTTTCTATAAGCTCATAATGTTGTTTTTGTAATCGTATCTTCAAACCAGGTAAACAGATAATTAGATGATTTGAGTGTGTACTTGTTTGCTTTTTTAGCAATACACATAGCTGGTTAGAAAGACAGGTGAAGTCTCCTGAAAATACTGTCCGGAAGAGTCTGATCTCTTCAAACTTCTAGTCACTTCTTGGTTTACCATGTAAGTAAGAGAAGTAACGGCTTTTATTTGCAATTTTCAGGTCTATCTTCTTATTCTGAGTGTGACTACTCTGAGCCTTTTACTTGCCCCTGCCCTGTGGAGAGCTGCAATTATGAAATGTGTTCCAAGACCTGAAAGACGCTCGAGTACTTGATTAAGCACATATACAAGAATACATCTTCTTGCAAGGAATATCTTCATTGCTCATTGTATTTCTATGCACTCAGAAAACAAGAGGTTTTGAGTAGTCAGTCCTCTTAATGTGCACTTGGTTATAAGCCTTATATTGACCTTAAAACAAAACAAAAGTCAACATTAGAAAATAATTATATAATTTTAATTGCACACCTTTTACAGAACTTACTTTCTCTCTGACAGATTAAAACCTGCCAGAATATTTGTTCCTGATCCAATCAGTTATTCAGAGCTTAAATTATTTTTTTAAAATACAGCTTCATGCAAACTGTGCTGATTATTTTTTTGCCTGAATGTGCCTTTTAATTTTCATCCTATTTTGTTACTGCTGGTTCATCACCAGATTTTGTTTTGAAAAGAAAAAAAATAGATATTATGGTGCCTATGGTATCTTCTTTCACTAAATGACTTGAGTCATTTTCACATTTAGGAGTTTAATACACTAGTACAAAATTAATCACAAAACACATTTCTAACAGTGAGTAAAAGTGTAGTCTTCTACACAAAGAAAAGGTTTAACTGTTCAGCATCAGACTGGTTTAAGCAGTCAAATACATATTCCAAATGATGCAGCCAATACTGTATGATATTTTATTCCAAATTGCGGCATATAATGTATTTTCTTCTAGTGGTAACTTTTATTTGTGTTAGTTCTTGTATTTATTTACATATTTGACTAGAAGTTGATGGTAAGAAAGGGCATAACTTAAGTTATATTTGAAGACTGACAGTTGTCACGCGTTCTTGTTGCTAACTGCTGTTACAGTAATTGTTTACAGTTCTTTTTCTTTGTTTTAAATCAAAAATAAATTTAGGAAAACTGGGAAGTCTTATTTCAAGCAGACATGAAAAACATCAGTTCTTTGAAGGTTGGATGTTATTTGACACTATGCTAGATCTGAAATTATTTTAAGTAAATTAATTTGCACAAAACTAGAAATGGCAGACTGGATGTGTATTTGGAACTCCATGACTTTATACGTTGCACTTACATTGAATAAATTGTTAGTCTCTTTAAAATATCATGGCATTTTAAAAAACAGTTTTTTGAATGTGATTGTAAATGTGATTTCTTCTTTAGAACGTTATATGTAGCAGGATAAGCCTTGTAAAAGCCCATTCTTTAAGTGACATAGAGAAAGCTTACTCATAGACTGTTGTCTACTCTGACAAGCAATTTAAAAATCATCTTGAGGTTTATCTGCTAAAAATAATACTATTAAAGGTATAGCAACACTTTATGTCAGTATTATACTGACATTTGAAATAACTTTGATACCCACAAAATTGTTAGAAAAATGCATGTTACATAGTTTAAATTGCCAATTAAAATGAAAGCTGTCCTCCCAAGTAGCAAAACAAAGCTTTGGATGGATTTGTGTGCTTTCTGCCTCTTTCCTCTACCACAGTAGCCTCAGTTTCCTCCTGTGTTTTCCCTGACATCTGCTGGGCTTGTCAAAATGCAGCTTGGACTAGTCTGGAGTGTGTTGGTACTCTCAGGACAGGGTAGGGTTCATTATCTTTGAGTTCTTGCTTAATGCATTCGGGGATTTCTCTCCAGGCACCGATGCTTCATAAAGGTTGCAGGAACGTCTGGCAATTCCACCTCTCCTTGGATGTTTTCAGAAGTTCAACATTAGCAAATGCAGAGGAAAAAACTGCCCTAGAAATAAAAGTTTTTTTAATAAAATGAATGTGTAACAGAAAAGAAACCCGAAACTGATTTGTTGGTGTATTTCAGTATTTTATATTCAAAATATAGAAGTAATTAAAAAGTTTTACAGTACCATTTAACAATCTACTAGCCTCAATAAAATAATGTCTTAACTGTACTAGGGAGAGAAATCTTACTCTCTCCACTGACCTAGCTCACAGTTTTTGCTTGAAATACAAGCTTCTCTCCTGAATGCCTCATTTTGATTTTGAAAGATGCTTATTTCTCGTGTAGTTTACCACCTATGTTTTGGGGGCAAAAAAAAGTATCTCGTGGTAGAGACCTCTGTATGGTTTCCATTATCTCTCTTGGTTAGCCCTTGAAACTATTACACAAAGTAGTACAGCTGTGCTGAGTAAACCTTTTGTTTAAATAAACTGCTGTGGCTAGTTGTACTTCTCTGGAAAATTCCCGTTAGGAGAGTAGGAAATACTGGTGGTTGGGGTCTCTTAAAAGAAAGAAAAAAATTTCCCGATTACCTTTGAAAGGAGTTGGGTGAAGAGTCCTTTTGGTACCGGGTCCAAAAAGGAAAACATGTACCTAGATACCTTACTGGTTGCCTCATCTCTGTCACTGCTTTCCCAAATAATTTTTGATTCAGTCATGACTTGGCTAGGCTTCAGGAGGACTGGGGAAGGAGAAATAGGAGCCTCATCTGAGTATCAATGTTCTGTGCCTCTTTGTTGACACAGACCTGGATTGCCTGATTGAATATTAGATGTCAATTCAAATTACTAATCTTATTGGGCATATGGTAAATTTGTTTACAATCAGGTGTTTAAGATTACCTCCAGATTTCTATGATATTGGGATACTGTAAATGTTTCCTGAACTGCAAATAATGGCTTGATGCATAATTCCTTGTCAAAATGGGGTAGTCTCATGATACAGTCTTAGGATAGAAACAACAGACCTTATTCCATTCAGTCATGTCCGTATTGAAAACAGGGAGAATATTTCACAATTGGCCCACTTAGAATTGCAGCTTTTCAGGAACCTTATGCTTGTACTCTGGAATATTCTTTTTCTGTGTCAAGCAGAAAAAATTAAAGCAGGGATCCGGAAGCCCTGAAAGGAAAATCTACTGATTTGTTGAAGGTTTGTTGAAGAACAGCTGGTCTTTTCTGGAAATTTTTGTTTCCGCTTGTTGGACAGTGGTTCTCTCTCATTAATTTATCTAATGATCAGCATCATTTGAATACAGAAAAGCTGATACGGGCCAGAAACTTCTTAAGTGATGAGAGGATATTTCTGTGGCGAAGCTGAGCTTAAGGGAGTGGAAAGGAGGGGTCTGCTCTGTGCTTGAGTAGCAACTCATGCGGTGTACCTGTTTTGGGATGGGGTTTTTTGGATCGGTTTGTTTTGGAGGTATTCGTTTTGTGTGGCTTTCTCTCTGAAATATGAGTTCTTGCATGTCACCCCTCAATTGCTGCCTTTTGTCATTGTTCCCTATCAGGGTGAAGGAACCAAAGCAGTTTAAAAGCTGGTAGTGTGGGCTATGCTTATACTTCATGAGCTGCTTCCCTGTCCCCGGGGTCAGATTGGTATATATGGGCCTGCAACCACCCTCCTTATGGCTCTTCCCATATAGAGCAGGCTGCTTCAGTTCCTCGGTAGGAAGGTACCTAGCAGGAGCTGTGAGGTAGATTCTTGCAATTGTGACCGATATGGGTCTAGGATGGCTCAAGGAATGCTGTCACGGTGGCCTAGTCCATGGAGCTACATAGCTTTTTAAAAACTGAAAGAGTTCATATTTCCTATAGTCCTCAAAGTGGATGAGAAAGCAGCCTCACAATACCTTGTATTTTACTTGTTTTATGGTTGGACATCCTCAGCTTTGTGGGCAGAGAGGAGTGTGAGGGTGCCTAGCATGACAGAATAATGCTGTATGATGATGCTTGATGGAGGGCGTGAGAAACTTAGCGTGGTCTTGCTGCCTGTTGGAGTGAACCCAGGAACAATCTAACCGCAAAAGCACTCCTGGGGTTTGTCTAGGGAAGGAGTCTGTAGTTTTGCTCTGTACGGAATCCTGGCAGTGCTCCAGCATGTGGGCAGTGCCAGAGGTGGAGGAAAGCAGACCCCTGAGTGACAGCAAGTACCAGACATCTGCTATTAAGATGACCTGACCACAAGGGAGCCAACAAAACTAGTAAAGCCAGAAGGAAGAGCAGCAAGACGGCCTAAGGGCTGGGAGATGCGTGGCCCACCCCGCCTGAAAGGACACAAAGGCAGAAGGGAAAGGCATGCCTCTACCAGCCTTGCTTAGCCCAGGAGGCGTGCTGCTTTGCTTCTCCCGCTGCCTCTGCGGAGCGATTGCCACTGCCGGCTGGGAAAAACTTACTGACGGTAAGTAAGGCCGGTGGAGACCAGGAAAATCTCCCGACCGCTAGAGACAAAGAACTAACCAGGCAATGGTGCAACCAGAGTGGCTTAGGGACAACTGATCCTGCCTTGGGAGGCAAAATCTAGATCGGGGAACGGCAACACTTTCAAGGTTATGGTGCCAAACTGTACTTTTTATTGCCCTAACGTAGAGCAGAAACTTGAGAATTGGGAGATGCTACCTCCCAATGAGGTCAGATGCTCACAAGCCGGTCAACTGATTGTAGGTCTTTATTTAAGCCAGGAGCTTGCAGAGGTCCCCCTCTCAAGATGGCATGGCTTCCAGTTCTGAAGCATGTCAGTCAAAACATGTCCACGTGCATATCCTGGCATCTGTGGTGGGATCTGTCTGTAGACTAGATGACCTCTCGAAACGCAATTGCCTTGTGTCTGTTGCACAGTTCTGCCACACGGATGCTGTTTGAAGTTGTGACCTAGCTCTCCTTTTCAAGCACCCTTAAAAGGGGGAGGCAGGCCACAGAACACAGTTGTGAACTGGAACAGCCCTTCCTTTCACCACTACAAACACAAAGTCCTAAAGCTCCAGAATGCCCGAGAAAGGCGTGCTCAGAGATGAGAGAAATGCTGAAGGTTTTTCCAAGGGGACAAATACTTCAAATTAGTTGTGAACAACCCTCTGCTAAAGAAAAAAGAAAAAACCCATCACCTGGGAGCAGGTGCATGCTTGAGCAGTTAGTAATGTGTCAAAGCAAATGGCAGCAAACCAGGACACCCCCTCTTGTTTGTGCTTGTTCAGTTGTCTTGCAAGAAGCTCGGGGCAAAGAGAGGCTTACCAGGAAGCACGAGCAGTGCAGCAAGATTACCTGGCAAGGGTTAAAATAGAAGAATTTGAGTAACTAAAAAAGGTTGGTCTTCTGTCACTGTTTCTTCACTGACCGGGGTCAAGAAAGCATCGGTTCTGATGTTTGTGGAGAAGCTGTGTAGTTTGCAAAAGCAGGTAGCGGCGTGAGGTTCATATTCTGTCCTCTGATTACCACTGCTCCCCTGTTCTGAAAGTTCCTATGGTTATCTTAGTCCCTTCAAACCACAGCTGCTAATGAATTATTTTCTACTTTTTTTATTCTTAAGTTTCTGACAATTTTGCTTTGTAGTAGAGATGGTAGAAGGTTTCTCTTCAACCCGAGACTTTTGCAAAATGGCACTAGTCTCTTAGGTAAAACTTAAGACAGCAGGAGAAATGCTTTGTATCTGAGCGCGGTCGTTAAATGCTACCTTTTTAAAAGCCTGTTTGCTTTTTTGTAGTCCCTTCTTCACTCTGGGACAGACACACCCTGTTGAGGGTGCATTCCTGGAGACTGCAGGAGCTCGTGGTAATCGGGATAGTGGAACAGTTTTTTCTACAAGAATTAACGTAAAAAGGGGTGGGAGGTGGGCATGGACTTGAGATACATGGGCAGTTTAAATCCACAGGCGCAGTATATATCACCTGTGGAAGGTGGAGAGCAGCACCATCAACTGGAGGAGATGTCTTTTAGGAAGAATTGTTTCTGCAGCTTGCTTGGTGTGTTTCGTGTTTCTTGTGTGTGGAAGTTCTTGCCTCTTTCTGAAAAGTTCTATTTTCATTATCACCTTCTTCTTTTGATGTCTGCTGCCATCAAGCTTAGTCAAGAAGAATGAAGAAATGGGGTAATAACGGTCGTTATCAGAGCAGGCTACTGCATGAGCAGCCATGGAACCCCAGTGCAGCAAGCTGGGGGTTTAGTGTGAATGAAAAACTTCAAAGATCACTATTTATCAAGGGAGTGAAAGCAGCTAGCGTTTCCTCATTGTTATAAAGCACAACTGCCCAACATCTCAACTTTTATACCTTACTCAATTTCATTTTTTAACTAAATGTGAATCTAGTCAACTTGATGACTAGGCACCTTCTCTGGCATCTCATAGAATCGTTTAGGTTGGAAAAGACCTTTAAGATCAAGTCCAACTGTTAACCTAACCCCGCCATCCCACCACTAAACCATGTCCCTAAGCACCT